GAGGTCTCCCACTGCCTGGAAGTCCCCAGCGCTGCTCTGCAGTGAGCAACACCTGCCAAGTCCAAGATCCTCACGTTCTTCCCGGTTTGATGTGGGAAAGGAGGTGACACCAGGACAGCCGGGCACGTGGCGGCTCCGTCTCGGCTCCACAGCCCCCGGTTTCAAGCGTCCTCCCCCTCCAGAAGGAAAAAGGCAGCAAACACCAACCAGCAGAAACCAGCTGCTTTTTAATAGCTTCTCCTGGGGGAAGGGCTGCGGTGGGACCAGGCTTATCTCTGCATTTTATACTTCAGAGTCAAGAGATGAAGGACAGACTGGGATCATTACTTATTAATGACGATGGAGAACGACCCACACACCAATGCACGGAGGCAATGCCAAGCTGCGCCAGGCGCAGCCCCAGCCCCAACCCACCCACTCGCTGCCAGACTTGGGCTGGCTGTCAGGTCACAGCAAAGCTTTCTGCTCCCAACACTTTTTTTTGGATGAGGGATGCCACTGGGCTCCTCTGGTCAGAGCAGGTCCCTCGAGTCCTGGAGCTGGGGCCATTGCACATTCTCCCCTCCAAGAGGAGCACGGATTAGGGGTCAGGGAGCTCCTCGCTCTGCCCTGGCACCCGCTGCAGCCCCAGATGCACTCCTGTGGGTCACCAGAGCAGAAGCCCCAGACCTTTGGCATGACAGAGGTGCAAGGCACTGTCAGCACCCAGAGCATTGCACGCCCCAGGCTGAGTCCTCCCACGGGGGATTCACCCGCCTCTGGGCAACAGCGCTCGCTGCAGGAGCACGGCAGTGCCCTGTCCACAGCTGCCAGGTCACAGTGGCTTCGGAGACAGCACAAACTGCGTCCCTGCTGAGCGAGGGGCATTTCTGAAGGCAAACACATCAGTCAGAGAGGAGAGGCTACACATGCACCCAGTTCCATCACCCAGTGCTCCCAGGCAAGAGGATGCTGGGCGGGCAGGCAGGAGGAGGGGATGCAGATGAAGAAGGAACCCAAGGCAGAGGCTGAGAAGCCATCAAAGAACACGGAGGATGCCGAGACTCCTGGGTGCAGCCGGCAGCCAGCCCGGGGCTGTGCATGGGGAGGGCAGTGCTGGTCATGCTGTGTGAGTGTCTGTTTAATACTGACATGACAGAGAAGAGGGGCATCACCCCAGGAAGCGGTGATGGAGGTGGTGCCAGGCAGCCTCGCCTGCCTCCGCCCTGCCTAGCCGCTGTGGAAGATGCGGATGCGCTGTGTGATGTCCCTGCGGCACAGGGGGCAAGTGTGCAGGCGCTCGCAGCAGGTCTGGCAGCAGCAGACGTGGCCACAGGGCAGGAAAATCATCTGGGTCTGGGGGAAGAGACAGAGGAGAGGACACGGAGAGTGTTGCTGTCCTATACCACTCATCCCAGCACCACCATACTGCAGCACAGGAGGAAATGGGGCTGGAGGAGATGGGGATCACCCAGAGGTGTCGCAGTGTGGGAGGCAGAGCCCTCACCCCGATCTCCATCCCTGGGCACAGCCCAGTGCTCTGTGTGCACAAGGGTCTGGGCTGCACAGAGAGCACGCGTGCAACGGGCTTGAGGGAAGGACACGGGGCAGGGCTGAACCAAGCAGCCCCAGGAACACTTCCCACGGCTGCTCCGTGGACAGAGCAGCTCAGGAGTTCAGCAAGGTCCTTCCCAAGCCCAAAGGAGGCCTGCCCTGCCCTGCCTCCCTTCCTGCTGCAACGCCTAAGCCAGGCTGTGCTCGAGAGCTGGAGGGATGAGTGTCCAGGTGTTGCCAAGGGCCAGGCTGGGGGGACAGATGTGGGGGGATGTGCTGGATGCTGCCCTCCCTCCGCCCTCTGCTCCAGCACCACGCGTGTGCCAGGGTCTCACCTCCTGCTCCATGCAGACAACACACTCCGACTTCTTCTCGTCCCACTGCAGTGGCGGAGCCGTCGGGACCACAGGGCTCAGAGGCTCCTTGAAGGGAGCGCTGGGTTCTGGGGCTGCAGGGACCTCGGCATCCACCGTCCTCAGCAGCTCTGCAACCACAAGCAGGAGGTCTGAACACCAGGAGAGCTGCCCGTCTCCCACCAGCCCGGCATGTATGGGGATGAGTGCAAGCAGATGGGTGCTCGGGGCTCCAATAAATAAGAAAGTCGATGGGACCAGCTTAACAGTGCAGCCCGAGCTCTGCCAGTGTTCCCTGCCTCTCCTTCTCACATACCAGCCCCACATGGCTCTGCTCCCCAAAGGGAAGCATCCAGCCCCACAGATTTTCCCCGCTCAAGGCTCAGGTACCTGCTGCGAGCGTAAAACGTGTCAGAGACCAGGCAGAAAAGAACTGGTGGTACCTGGGATCGTCTTGGCCACCGCCAGGATCTCCTGAGCTCGTCTGAGGATGGCACGCTGCAGGCCAGCCTCCATCACGCCGATCTGCACGCAGTGCAAGAGAAGAGCTGTTAGCTCTCGGAGGTGAAAGGAGATTTATGTCCCAAAGGGGACACTGCAAACTCTTGGGCCTCACTGGCAAGACCTGGCCATGCCAAGGGAAGCACCTCCATCAGGCACCAAGGTCAGATAAGGGAATTCCCCCAGTGCCATTTCTACTACAAAGAGCATCTGAAGGATGTTGAAAGACAGAGCCAAACTACAGCTCACCCTGCAAGTGCTCTGGGAGAGCTGTCGCTCACTGGGATGGGGCACACAGCAGCACCAGCACCTCTCCTTGCTGGGAGGTGACACCCCAGGAACACCAACATTCCCTCCTGCCAGACCTGCCACTGGCACAGCCACGAGCGCTGCTGGGCTCAAAGCAAGCGCAGGTTCAGTCGGTGTTGTCCTGCACCGTGTATCTGCTGTCTCGTACCTTTTCCAGGTCACTGCCGGTCATGGTGCTGAGTGTTTGCAAGGATATTCGATGGTGTGCAAAGACTGGCACGTACTGTTCAGCAGACAACTCGATCAAAAGGTTCACCAGCTGCCGCTCCAAGCCCTCCTCCTGCAAAACACAAGGCAAGCTCCCAGACTTCGCTCTCGAGAAAAGGCACGGGGACAGGCAGCAGCAAGGCTGGCAGCAAGAGCAGGCAGCGTGCTCATTCCTGCCCTCTGCCCTGCTGGAAGCATTTTGCATCCCCAAAGACACTAAAGCTCAGAAGCCCAACAGCCAGAGGAGCTCTGGCCCTAGGTGTTTTATGAGCACAATTCAGGACGCTGCATTTTGGGAAGAATGAAACATAACTGTTTTGGCAGGCGATGTCTGCAACAGCACCTGCTTTACAAACTCGAGCCGATATGCAGCACGGGCAGAGCTCAGAGCCATCTCTTCATGGGCACCCCCATGGGTATTTTAACAGCATAAAGTGCTGGCTCAATACGTTAGGGCAGGTACGGACAGGAGTTGCTGCATTCAGATTGATTTGCAAGGGAATCTGGGGAGCCAAGCAGAGGTGTTTGGGTGTTTAGCTGGAACAAAAAGCCCTGCTGGGAAGGTACTGAGAGTCCTCTGCTCCTGGCAAGAAGTCTGACGATGGGATGGCAGCTCCCACCTCAGAGAGCTGAGGTGTTGGCTCCTTACAGCCCCATAACCTCCAATGTACAGGAATGAGGGAGCACGACGGCTAAATCCAGGGCAGCCCGGGGTCTCCCCTGGCTTCTCAGCCCCTGCGAGGGGTCTGTGCCCAGCTCCCTGCCTTAGCTGAACCTGTGGGTTGAGGCAGGGCTGCCTTCGCTCCCCAAGCACTCTGCAGAGCAGAGCTCCAGTGAAAGCATTAACTGCAGCAGCGACCTGGAGTTTCAGGGAGAGGGGCTTCTGGTTCCGCAGGCGCTGGTACTGGATCAGCCAGTAGTTCTCCTGTTTGGTTTCGCTCTTTGCCTCCATTTCCAGCTGAAAAACAAATTCATTCATTCAACAGCCCGAAAGAACATTGCTAGCGGTATTTAGGGAAGCTTGAGTTGGATGTGTAGGAGGGGAAACCAACAGCCTGGGGCTGTGTAGGGCCAGTTCAGAGCACTGCGATGGGCACAGCTATGGCAAGATGGGCATTTCTGGCCTTCTGCATGCTGGTCCCATTTTGATGCCCCACCCAGCCAGTCTAGGGTTGTGCATCCCCTCCGCTCACTTTGCCCCAGACACTGGAGCCTGGGCTCCTGAAGCTCAGGAGAGTCTGGAGGTCTTCAGGATTTCAAGACCACAGGCAGGGCCCTCGTGGGATTGTGCTCATCCCCCCCTACAACTGATGCTGAAGAAGGTGCCTCATGCTGCACCAGGGAGTGGCACCACCTGTGCCCCCAAGACCTAACATTAGCACTTTCTGAAGTTAAATTAGTCTCTGGATCTGGACACAACCCCTCAGAGCCCTCTTCTGCTCCTCTTTATTCCCATGCTGACCCACAGACTCTCTCCTTGCAGCCAGCTCATGCACTTCCCCATCTACAGCACCTAATTAGGGGCCTTCGTTACCAGTATTTGTTGCAATTCTTCTTCCCTTTCCTTCTTTTCTTTGAGCAGCTGCTGCAGCAGGTAGCCAAGTGCTTGGCGTTGCTCTGTGATCACCCCCTGCAACAGAAAGACTCTGGCATCCACATCTCTGTACCATACAGCTGCAAGCAACCACCCTGCCCCAATTTCCAGCAAAGCACTTACCATACCCAAAACAGAGCAGATGTGGAAGCCCTGTGCTCCACGGGCCCTCAGACCAGCTGAGCAGACAGCCCGAATCCTCTCCTAGCAGCTGGCATGGCAGGCCCAAGCTGAACCTATTTCTTTCAGTCCTGCACTGACCATTATCTGATGGTGCCAACCCCCAGCACAGCCCAGGCAGCCCCAGACCATGCTGGCCTGCAGCAGCTCTTCATCACTCCATCAGAAGTTCAGTCAATGGCATCATAAATGTTCATGGTCCCCCTCCTTAACTGAGAAAGACCACCTGAAACTAGGTGTAGAAGCCCGCAGGTATGCAGGACAGGTAAGGTAGCAACCTCCCCATGTCTTTGGGAAGCTTGCTTTCCTTGGGGTCTCACACCAAACACCACCGGGTACCAGGGCAAGGCAAGTCATCACTGCAGCCACAGCACTGGGAAATGAGGACAGGTTAATTGTCTCAGGAACGTCAACTCATGCAGCATCTCTGCATGGTTCAGTCCCAGCTAGCTCATACCTGGATGGATCATTAACTGAGCAGGGGCCAGTAGTCACTGGCCACAAAGACTTCAGATGTCCATGGACAAAGGGACAAGGATGCTGTTAGAGGGCTGACCTCTTAAAGGAGAGGTGTGGGGAAACCTTCACTGATCAGCATCTGGACCCTACACAGAGAC